GGGGGGGCATGGGGTTGGGGGGTTGGTGTGTGATTTCATTATAACCTGGTTTCACCCGCTCTGTAATTACTCTGCCCTTTTGCTCAAACTGTGTGTCTGTTTCTTTGGTTTGCTGAAACAATTATTGTTGCTATAGAGTCTCCTCGAGAACTTGAGGCAATTGTCAAAGGTTGCTCCATTGAACAAGAAGTGCACTGTAATTAGAAGAAAATGGAAGTGATTAATGATTATTATTACGGAATTAGCATGATTGTAGATTGTAGTAATTGTTTGCCTGAATAAATGTGCTGCCAGCCTGAAGTGTAAAACAGCAAGTTTGTAACTTTAACTGTCGATGTGCCTAACCCCCGCCTCCCCTGAATCACGCACAAATGTGGGCATACACACACACAGGCACACACACTCATGCACGCACACACACATACACACACACACACACACAAACGCGTGCACACATGTTCAAGTGCACACTCAATCAAACTCACATAATTTACATATATACGCTCACTCTTTGTCTGGTCTCTCCCCCCCCCCACCACACGCCCATAATTTCAGTTTCAAGATGTATCTTTTTTCTATTTATTTTTTTTAAAGTAGATAATTGGAGGAGGATGCTGATAGATCAAGTTCTTTACCCTCCACTTGTTATTTCTGTCAATAAGTGTTGCTTTGTGGGTGGTTGGCGGGTGCTCTGTGTGGTTTGTTTCTTCTTTCCTATCAAACATCTATCGTCCTTATCTCTCTCCCCTTCTTCTTTTTTATGTTTGTTACTCTCTTGTAACACCTCTAATCTTCTGGCGCTCATGTGACCTTATGCAGTTGCGAGCGCCGTAACATCTCTACTAAAACTGTCTCAGTGTTGCTTTTTTCGAGTGGTAGATAACTATTATGTTATTGTGATTCTCATTGCTCTAAACAGTTTGGGGGTTCTTTTTTTGTTTTAAAAATTTTTATTTTTATTTTTGTTGTTTGTTGGGTTTTAAAAAATTTTTGTTTTGATTGTGTGTGTGTTTTTTTGTTGTTGGTTTGTTTGTATTCATGCCTTCACAGTGTTTTTCTCCTCCTTTCCTGTCAAACATCTATCATCCTGATCTCTCCTCCTTCTTTTGTTGTGTTTGTTACGTTCTTGTAACACCTCTATTCTTCGACGCTTATTGAATGACCTTATTGTGTTGCAAGTGATGTAAAACTCTTACTAAAACAAACAGTGGTTTTTTGTTTTTTTTGTGGGTGGTTGGCCGGTGCTCTGGTTTGCTTCTTCTTTCCTGTCAAACATCTATCATCCTGATCTCTCCTCCTTCTTTTGTTGTGTTTGTTACTCTCTTGTATCACTTCTATTCTTCAGCACTTATATGACCTTATTGTGTTGCTAGTGCCGTAAAACTCTTACTAGAACTAAACAGTGTTTTTTTCTACAATGTCCATCTCTCTTTTATTTTCTGTATTTTTTCTTTCCTCGACAGTTGGATGGCAAAGGTCACAACGAGAGAAGTTTGTACACGTTTGATGACTTTCATTCGGGAGAGCTCAGGTTTGTGGACGGTAGATTCGCAAAAGAAAATAATGTGAGACAGCGTGGTGTATTCAGGCACTCGTCAAAGTAATGAAAATGAAGAAAGTAGCGTTTTTCCGCAGGTGTGGGAGAATTTTTTTCAAATTTTTTTTTTTGGCTCTGTACCTTCTGTGTTTTTTAAAGAACACATAATTTCTGTATGGATTTTTATTGAAAAACATTGATTAAAGACACAAAAAATGCAAATTTTCAGTTTCCACAGACGCTCAAGCAAAGGAAATAATCAAACTTTGGCAGCCATTTTCTTGCAAATGTTACCTCTGAAACCAGGGTGACCCCCCCCCCCCACCTCATTCAATTGCTAATATCTCGACTTGTATCCGAGATAAATGGATTTTTTTTCTCCATCAAAAGCAAGATTAATGAACAAGTTTTAAGATGATAACAATAACTCCACCTGCCCCAAAATTGACGAGAGCCTGATTACACCGTGTCGCGATACAAATATTAATTTTTCAATATCTCTGTGTGCTATAATACTTGTAGATATGTAAGCACGTTTGACAAATTTTAATACTAAATGATGCACCATGGATAGATGAATTTCGAAATGGTTACAATGTGTGTGTGTGTGTGTGTGTGTGTGTGTGTGTGTGTGTGTGTGTGTGTGTGTGCGTGTGTGTGTGTGTGTGTCTGCGTGGTGAAACACCAACACCAAACCAATGTGCCAGGATCTGGACAATAAAAATGTATCTTATCTTATCTTATCCACGATGGCTTAGGCCCTGACTTAACGCTTAACGGCCGCGTGATGAAGGTATATATGTGGGTGGCTGGCGGGTGCTCTGGTGTGGTTTGCTCCTTCTTTCCTGTCAAACATCTATCGTCCTTATCTCTCCTACTTCTTTTTTTTTTGGTGTAAGTTCCTCTCTTGTATCTCACCTATTCTTCGACGCTTATATGACCTTATTGTGTTGCAAGTGCTGTAAAACACGTACTAAAACTAAACTAAATTTTGATTCCGTGTCTTTTATGATGTTGTCGATGTCCTACTTACTCAGAAGCTTTTAGTGTTATTTTTTTTATTATAGTTGTTCTGTGCCTATGTCTGGATGAAAACTAAACTAAGAAGGTGTATAATATATCGGTTTTGTTCCAGTGTGTCTCTCTACCACGATGACTCGAAGGTGTCCCGAGAAGTGCTGGGCAATATCTTCAAGGGTTCCTTCCTCGGGGAAGTCAAGATTCCCCTCTCTGATATTGACTTCTCTAAACCACACAAGGCATGGTAAGATCATTATTTGTTATTGTTAGAAACCACATTACACATGGTAAGATCATTATTTGTTGTTGTTTGAAACCACACAGGGCATGGTAAGATAAATTATTTGTGATGCGAGCTTACAAAATGAGTTTCTTCTCGACATCCACAAATAGATATATTGTCCAAAAATCGACACTAGTGTCAAATTTGTCGATTTTTTAAATTGATGGCTTATTCTTTAAGTATAAAATGCATTTTATTATTTCATACTTATAAATTGTAAAAATTTCACCTATAAGCGTGATGTATCTATTTCCATAGAGCTCGAATCAGGAAGTAGCTCTTTTTGTCAGCACACTTCATATTTGTTACTGTTTGAAACCACATTACACATGGTAAGATAATATTTTTACTTTTCGAAACCACCACACAAAACATGTTAAAATGTTTCTTTTCACTGTTTGAAACCACATAAAACATGTAAAAATGTTTCTTTTTACTGTTCGAAACCCCACACATATACCCCCTTCCTCCCCCCCCCCCTCTTGGAAGTACAATACGCTTGTAAGTGCGTGCTTGTTTTACCGTTTATGACTTAATGTAACTCTCTTTATCTATCTCTCTGTCTGTCTCTCTCTCTCTCTCTGTCTCTCTCACTCTGTCTCTCTCTCTCTCTCTCTCCCCCCCTCTCTCTCTCTGTCTGCCTCATTTGTAAATTCATTTTTTTGTTAAAATGGCTGTTCCTCAGGTATTGCCTGCAAGCCAAAGAACAAAAAGCCAGCGAACAAAATCTGGGTTCTATACGACTGCGTATTTCCTACACAGCCGACTACGTGTTTCCTTCCAAGTATTACGACGGACTTCGCAATCTGATTCTGGAGTCCTCTGACATGAAGGTTTGACTTTTGTACTGCTCGTTCTTATGATCTGAATTAGTGGGTGGTTGGCGGGTGCTGTGGTGTGGTTTGCTGCTTCTTCTTTCCTATCAAACATCTGTTGTCTTTATCTCCCCTCGTGGGTGGTCGGCGGGTGCTCTGGTGTGGTTTGCTTCTTCTTTCCTATCAAACATCTATCGTCCTTATCTCCCCGCCTTCTTTTTTATGTTTGTTACTCTCTTGTAACACCTCTAATCTTTTGGCGCTCATATGACCTTATGCAGTTGCGAGCGCCGTAAAATCTCTACTATATCTCCCCTCCTATTTTCTGTCTGTTACTCTCTTGTGACACCTCTAATCTTCGGCATTTTTATAACCTTTTTGTGTTGCAAGTGCCGTAAAACTCTTACTAAGAGACTCATCAGAATTGTTCGGGATTGTTCCCTTCTTTACAGAGTTTAAAAAAAAAACTTTTTCAAGAAGTGCCAGGCTGTGAAACTAGCAGACACGGTTTGTGATTGGGTGGTTGGTGGGTGCTCTGGTGTGGTTTGCTGCTTCTTCTTTCCTATCAAACATCTGTCGTCTTTATCTCCCCTCCTATTTTCTGTTTGTTACTCTCTTGTGACACCTCTAATCTTCGGCACTTTTATAACCTTATTGTGTTGCAAGTGCCGTAAAACTTTTAATAAGAGACTGATCAGAATTTTTCTGGATTGTTCCCTTTTTTACAGGGTTAAAAAAAAACAACTTTTTCCAGAAGTGCCAGGTTGTGCAACTAGCAGTCACGGTTTGTGACTCATTTCCTCTACTACGGTGCCCTCAAAAAGTTTGTCCAGATGAACCTGTTGTTATTCTGTGTACTTTTTAGCTTCTTCTTCCTCTTTTACTGGAAATGTGGGTGGTTGGTGGGTGCTCTGGTGTGGTTTGCTCCTTTTTTCTTATCAAAATATCTCTCGTCCTTATCTCACATCCTTCTTTTTTGTGTTTGTTACTCTCTTGTAACACCTCTAATCTTCTGGCGCTCATATGACCTTATTGTGTTGCAAGTTCCGTAAAACTCTTACTAAAAAAAGCAAAGAATCTGTCTGTTTTCTGTTTTATTTGTAAATTTATGCAAGGATTTCCCCCGACCTTGCCCTCAGCCCGTGACGTCCAGCGCGGCGTTCCTGCTGGGAGAGATCGTGGACAACCGCCAGAACGCGGCGCAGCCTCTCATCAAACTGTTCCTGCAGCACGGCAAGCTGGTGCCCCTGATCCACGCGCTGGCCGACTGGGAGATGTCCAACACCATGTGAGTGGGAGCTTGGCGGGTGCTCTGCGGGGGTTTGCTCCTTCTTCTGTCCTATCAAACAGTCATCTATCGTCCTTATCTCCCCTCCTTCTTTTTTGTGTTTGTTATTCTCTTGTAACACCTCTAATCTTCAGCACTTGTATGACCTTATTGTGTTGCAAGTACCATAAAACACTCTACTGAAACTAACCTTTTTTATTCTCTGATTACAATGATCATGATGATGATGATTGTTGTTGTTATTATAATTCAAACTCAACAACTCCAATGCTTGTTTCAGCGACCCCAACACACTCTTCCGCGGCAACTCGCTGCTCACCAAGATGGTGGACGAGCTGATGAAGCTACAGGGTCTGCCGTACTTACACGACACGTTGGGCGCGGTGGTCAGCCAGGTCAGTCTGCCTTGTCTTCTTCTTCTTTGCATACAAATTGAATACTGGAATGCTTCTATATTGTCACTTTTAAGGACAAGCGGGCTAACCCAGATTTCGAGGGTTTCCAGAAATCTTGACCTACACCAAAAGTGGGCATTGCCCTACCTATAGAAGAAGTTTGGTTTCATTGGTGTGTATATTTGTTTGGTTATAGAGAAAAATATCCTTGTCTTTTAAAGAAACTGAACCTTTACCTTCGATTTTCTGAAAACAGCTTTTTTCGGGATAGCCTCTTTGTACTTAAAAGCGTCCATATTACAGATGCCAATTCATGCAAGAAACTAGTCCAAGGTGGATGAACAAGTTGGAATCAATCCAAAGTTCCCAATTTTTGTACCCTATCCTTGACCTATGTGCAAATGCATAAGTCTCCTTACTTTTTCACGTGTACTTTGAGTTGATTTTAATCTGAAAATGGGAAACCTCTCCACTGAAACCACGGCTAAACCTAACAAAATCTTGCAGTCCTGCAGACATTTGTTTAAGTGAACTCCGTTGTATAAGCATTTAGAATATGTGCCACGATGCTGTGGAATCAGGCGCTCGTCAATTTTTGGGTATACGAAGTTATTGGTATCATCCAAAACTTGTCTGTTTGCCTTGCTTTTGATGAGAACATATCCTTTTTTTTCTCGGATATACAAGTCGAGATATTGGCGATTGAAGGAGGTGGTTTCTGAGGTAAAATTAGCGAGAAAATGGCCTGCTAAAGTTGAGTTATTTCCTTAGTTTGAGAGTCCGTGAAAAATGTAAATTTACATCTTTTATGCTTTTAATCAATGTTTTTCTGTAAAATCCACACTGAGATGTGTTCTTAAATGGGCGTGAAAAGTGTTGAGCCAAAACCCCAAAATCGTTAGAAATTCTCAATTCTGCAGAACAATGCCTGTTTCTTGACTTTCATTATTTTGACTAGCGCCTGATTTCACCACGCTGCCTCAAATATGTGGTATTGGAGAAGGTTACGCATTTCAAGATAAATCCATCTTTGTTTTCATGTCTCTGTTGCTTTTTTTCCCCCTTAGATATGTACAGAGGGAAGACCGTGTGAGATTGATCCTACGAGGCTGAAGGATGGGGAGGATCTTGATACCAATTTGGTAAGTCTTGAGTACTTTTGCGGGGTGGGGGGGGGGGGGGGGAGGGAGGGGGGGGGGGGGGGGGGAGAGAGAGGGAGAGGGAGAGGGAGAGGGAGGGAGGGGGGAACCCAATCTGATATTTTCACCTGCATGAGGGATATACATTTTTCACCGTTATACAGTCAAAACAAATTACAAAGTGGGTGGTTGGCAGGTGCTCTGGTGTGGTTTGCTTCTTCTTTCCTATCAAACATCTATCATCCTTGTCTCCCCTCCTTCTTTTTTATGTTTGTTACTCTCTTGTTACGCCTCTCTAATCGGCTCTTATATGACCTTATGCAGTTGTGAGCGCCATAACACTTCTTCTTCTTCTTCTTCTTCTTCTTCTTCTTCTATCCCGTGGTTGGGACAACCGTGGGGGCACCTCTGCATCTGAAGCCATCTATTTTTGTCCTCTGCTTTCCCCAGATTGTCACCCATCGTCTTTCCTGTCCACTCTGTGATGTTGTCCTCCCATCTCCTTCTCTGCCTTCCTCTCTTTCTCTTTCCTTGTACGGTTCCTTGCAGGATTATTTTGGCAAGTCCTGTGAATCTTGTGACATGCCCATACCAATTAAAACCTCTACTATAATTTTTAAAAATTTCAATGCCAAAAAAATGTGTATCTTTCCTCAGAGTAACCTGCAGGCCTATGTTGCCAATGCACTCAACGCTATCGTGGGGTCTGGCCTGGTGTGTCCGGCCGTGATGAGAGACGTGTTCTGTACCCTCAAGTCCCGGGCCACCATCAGCTATCCAGGTCTGTGGGCTTTGGGGAGGGGTGAGGGGAGGGGGGGGGGGGTTGGGGATGGTGCTCTGGTGTGGTTTGCTTCTTCTTTCCTATCAAACATCTATCGTATTTATCTCCCCTCCTTTTATGTTTTTGTGTTTGTTACTCTCTTGTAACACCTCTAATCTTCGGCACTCATTTGACCGTATTGTGTTGCAAGTGCCGTAAAACTCTTTCTAAAACTAAACTAGGGGGGGGGGGGGGGGGTGAAGAGAACGGGTTGAGGTGTGTGTGTGTGTGTGTGTGTGTGTGAAGGGAGAAAGTGAAGGGGAGAGAATGGGATGAGGGATGGGGAGGAAGGAGGAGGAAGAAAAGGGAGGAGAAGGGGGGGGGAAGGGGAAGGAGGCCTTGGAGGGGAGGAAAAGGATATGGGGGAGAGAAAAAGAGGCTTGTAAAAACTGACTCAATGATAACATGAGCAGGCTTCTGAGTAAAAGCTGTCACGTGACTGTGAGCTAATTTTGAACGGTTGTTTGACTACCACCACCATCATCATCATCATCATGTGCCAGATCTTGGACAGACATCGGCGATCATGGTTCTTCAATCATCCATTGATTGCTCAAATTTCTGAAAAAAAATATCGACTGCTTAGTGTAAGACATATGTGTCACGACGTGGTGGAATAAGTCGCTCATCAATTTTTGGGCATGTGGAGTTATTGGTATCATCTGAAAGCTTATTTGTTTGCCAAAAATTGACAAGTGCCTGATTCTACCGCATCGTAATACATACCATGTTGTAATATGAACCTTCATCTTTTGAATTTTTCTCCTCATACAGACAACTTGGAGGTTCGCTATCATGCCGTCACCAGCTTCATCTTCCTGAGGTTTTTTTCCGCCGCCATCTTGACCCCTACTCTGTTTGACCTTCAGTCCGACACACCTGTAAGTGTGATAATGGGGTTGAAAAAAAAAAAAAAAAATAGGCATGCGTGTATGTGGGTACATAAAATTATTTTTAGCAATCTGAAACTATCACACATTTCATGCTTGTGTGATTATATTGATTGGTTTTAAAGTGGGTTTTTTTTTTGTTTTTTGTTTTGTATTTAAATTTTGTATTATTCATATCTTTCTGGATTTTTAAAAACATTTTTAAGGGAAAATTCATATCGTATTGAGTGGGTGGTTGGTAGGTGCTCTGGTGTGGTTTGCTTCTTCTTTCCTATCAAAACGTTTATCGTCCTTATCTCCCATACTTCTTTTTTATGTTTGTTACTCTCTTGTAACACCTCTAATCTTCTGGCACTCTTGTGACTTTATGCACTTGCGAGCGCTGTAAAACCTCTACTAGAACTAAAACAGTGGGTTTTTTTGCTTTGTTTTGTATTTAAATTTTGTATTATTCATATCTTTATTTCTTTCTCGATTATTGAAAACATTATTTTTGAAGGAAAATTCATATTATTGTATTGCTCAATGCCGATAAGGGAGACGGGTATTGATAATGACATTTGACTGTGGTCTGTGATGCGTCCTCAGGAACCCAGCGTCCAGCGGTCACTCACTCTGGTGTCCAAGTCGGTGGCCGGCCTGGTCAATCTAGTCAGCTCCAAATCTGTGAGTTAGGTTTTGTTTTTCTTTTTTTCTTTAAAAAATTTTTTTTTATTAAGAGTGCAATTTTGTCATTGGTACATATACGTTACTTTTTTAAAGATAATTCTGGAAGTAATGTAAGCTGTTGTGTTTTCGGAACCCTTCTTCTTTTTTATGTTTGTTACTCTCTTGCAACACCTCTTATCTTCTGGCGTTCATATGACCTTATGCAGTTGCGAGCGCCGTAAAACCTCTACTAAAACTAAACTAAACTCTCTTTTTATGTCTATCTCTTTGCCTTTTGGTCTGTTTGTCAGTACGTCTGTTTCTTTATCTGTCTCTTTTTCACTTCTCTCTCTCTCATTATCCTTAAATCCCAACCTCCCTTCTTTTTCTCTTTCAAACAACAATAATGTCATGTTATTAAAATTATCTGTATTAGGGCGATATTGTGCTACATGTGTGATATAAACGCTAGCTCTTGAGTCTTTGTATGCTTACACAGTTAATAACAATAATAATAATAATAATAATAATAATGATAATAGACTGCATTTATATAGCTCTCTTTCCCATACTTGTATAAGCTCTGAGTGCTTTACACCAATCACAGAATCATTCACACAAGAAAAAATATTTTTAACAGAAACAAGAAAAACCAGTTCAACCACATAAAGAAGAACTTTCACAACCACACATTAACTATACACGAAAGGACAGTGCAAAAAAAAAAATTCTTAAGGATTTCTTCTTTTCCTTTCATCAGGTGAATGTAACGATCAAAGAGGAGTACATGGTTCCTTTGTGTGACATGTTTCCTCAAGAATTTCTTCTTTTCCTTTCATCAGGTGAATGTAACGATCAAAGAGGAGTACATGGTTCCTTTGTTTGACATGTTTCCTCAAGCTGCTCAAAACGATATCAAAATGGTGGGTACTCTTGTCTACTTTCTTGTTTATCATACTAACCCTTTGTGTGGGTGGTTGGCGGGTGCTCGTGTGTGGTTTGCTGCTGCTTCTTCTTTCCTATCAAACATCTATTGTCCTTATCTCCCCTCCTTCTTTTTTGTGTTTGTTACTCTCTTGTGACACCTCTAATCTTCTGGCGCTCCTATGACCGTATGCAGTTGTGAGCGCCGTAAAACCTCCACAAAAACTAACTAAACCCTTTATCCTTCATGTACTAGTCTTTGTCTATGAAAAGGATTGGCGAGTGCTCTGGTGTGGTTTGCTCCTTCTTTCCTATCAAACATCTATCG